AAGCCCCAGAAACACCATTGCCTCCTTCTCCTATCATTACGCGTTGGGGAACCTGGTTAAAAGCCGCAATGTACTATTGTGAGAATTTTAAAGCAATTAAAAAAGTCGTACATTTATTAGATGCTGATGATGCGCTATCAATTGGAAAAGTTAAAAAAATTATGTCAGAAACAGATTTAGAATCTAATTTAGCTTTTATTTATACAAATTATGGATTTCTAACTACGGCTATTACATGTTTAGAAACTCAGGGAACTCTTTTAACTGACGCAATAAAAACAGTGGAGAATGTAGAAAATAAATTAAATACAATAAAATGTTCCAAAGGCATTACAATTTATAAAAAATTTGAAGAAGTTATTGCGAAGAATCTGGGCTTCAAAATACTAACCAAAATTTCAAAAGTTATGCTGGGAGAAGAAATCACAATGGATAATTTACCTGAATATATTTCTTGTGATGATCTACTATGTTTCAAATACGCGCCAATTTCTTCGGTTGACGTGGAGCGGAGCTTTTCGGTATACAAAAATATGTTGGCAGATAATCGGCGGTCATTTAAATTTGAAAATTTATCAAAGTCGTTGATTGTAAATTGCAATATTTAAAAATGTATATTAATTAATAATATTTTTAATTACCTGTCAAAGAAATTTGAATAAAAATCGTAGTAGTATAATAATGTTTTTTTCCTTATATTTATAAATTTAAAAAAATAAGGGCATATTTAAGCGCATATATCACGATTTTTAAGCGCATAAGTGCATGCATATTTCGGTAGTTTTTAGTGCATAAACTTCCGGGCCCTATTAATAAATATAACGAAGACCATCTCAATTGAGTTTAGTTGAATGGGTCCTAGATATATAAATACGTTATTTTTAGGTCAATTGATTTGGCTATCGCGTTGTCGAAAGAATATATTGTAATATAAAACTTTAACATTAACATCCCTAGTACTTGCAGAATGAATTGCCAACTCAATGTAAAAAATTCCGGACGTAAAATAGTCTCCCATTCGGATGTCCGGGTGGAGACTACTTTGAGAGATGCAAAGTGGAGGTACAAAAGAATTGGTACCTGGAATGTAAGATCCCTTGGAAGATGTGGAAAATTTGAAAATCTTAAGCTGGAAATGAAAAGATTGAATATCGACATACTTGGAGTAAGTGAAATAAGATGGCCCGAATGTGGTGATTTTTGGAGCGATGAATATAGATTTGTTCACACAGGCTCAAGCGATAGATACACAGGAGTAGGCTTCCTGATGAATAAACAATGTGGTAAAAACCTTATGAGCTATTATCAATGTACTGACAGAATCATCATGGTAAAAATTAACTCCTATCCAACAATAACAACGATTATCCAAATATATATGCCAACAACAACGCACGATGACGATGAAGTCGAAGAAGTGTATGACAAAATAGATGAAGTTCTAAAGATGACAAAAGCTGGAGAAAACGTCATTATCCTAGGAGATTGGAATGCATCAGTAGGAGAACAGAATGACGGATATATAGTAGGAAATTATGGACTAGGGAAAAGAAATGATAGAGGCGAGAGACTCGTACAATTTTGTACACAACACGAGCTTGTGCTAGCAAACACCCTGTTCAAGAACCATAAACGAAGAAGGTACACATGGAAAGCTCCTGGAGATATAGCGAGGTACCAAATTGATTACATTATGACAAAACAAAGATTTAGAAACCAAATCAAACAATGTAAAGCATATCCCGGAGCAGATATAAATAGTGACCATAATCTCTTAATCATGGAATCAGAACTAAAATACAAAAACATTAAAAAGAAAAATAATATTAAGAGATGGAACCTACAGAAATTAAAAAACGATGAAATAAAAGTGACATATAATAAGAAATGTAGTGACACTCTAATGACAGTCACACCAGATAATAACACAGTAGAAGAAAGATGGAAGAATATTAAACAAATACTAAAAAATAAGGCTGAGGAAGTTTTGGGATCACGGGAGAAAGAAGCAAGGAAACCCTGGATTACGGAAGAAATTATAGAACTAATAAACAAAAGAAGAAAGTACAAAAACCAAAACAACATAGACAGCCAACAGAACTACAAACACATCAGAAATATAATACAAAGAAAAGCAAAGGAAGCCAAAGAAAAATGGTTAGATTACCAATGTACTGAAGTGGAAGAGTACCTAAAAAGGGGAAGAAGTGATCTAGCTTTCGAAATTGTGAAAAAACTTTTCTGCACAAGAAGAATGAATAGAAATGTCCTGAAAAGTAAAACGGGTGAGATACTTATAACAGCCGAAAAAAAGGTAAACAGATGGAAAGAATACCTAGAAGAATTGTATGCAAACCAATTTAATGGAAATGTCCTAGAAGAAGAGAACTGTGTAGAAGATGAAGACAAAGGAGACTATATCCTCCAATCAGAAATTGATTTTGCTATAGAAAATCTTAAAAATAACAAAGCATGCGGTATAGATAAAATCCCAGCAGAACTAATAAAGTGTGCCGGTGAAGAAATAAATAAAGAACTTGGAAATATATGTAACGAAATGTACTTAAACGGGGAAATAATTGATGATTTCAAGAAAGGCATTATAGTAACAATTCCCAAGAAAAAGGGGACAATGAACTGCGAGGAATATAGGACTTTAAACCTCAACACGCATGCTTCAAAAATAATAACAAGGGTAATAAAGAATAGAATAGAAAAAGCAATAGATGCAAACCTAGGAGAAGATCAATTTGGTTTTAGGCGAAATATAGGAACCAGAGAGGCGACCTTAGCGCTAAGGATAATGATAGAAAAACAGATTAGACGAAACAAAGAAACCTTCATTGCTTTTGTAGACCTGGAGAAGGCTTTTGATAATGTACAATGGAAGGAATTATTTAAAATATTAAAAAGAATCGGAATTAAATATAACGATAGAAGATTTATCTATAATATGTACAAAAGCCAAACGGTCATAATACAGATAGATGGGAAAGAGCAAGAAGCAAAAATAAAAAAAGGTGTAAGACAGGGTTGTATTTTGTCACCAATGCTATTCAACTTGTACATTGAAGAGGCAATGAAAGAAATGAGAGAAGAAATACAGAAAGGAGTGCGAATAGGAGGAACAATGATGACGGCCTTAAGATTTGCGGATGACATAGCTTTCTGTGCGGAAAGAGAAGACGACCTGCAAAATACCCTAGTAACAATAGATAGAATACTAAAAAATAAGTATGGCATGAAGCTGAACAAAAAGAAAACAAAAGTTATGGTTTGCAGTAAAACTAATCCGGTTCGACTCAACATAAATATCGGAAATGAACAAATAAAGCAAGTGCAACAATTCACATATCTAGGAAGCAATATAACAGAGGATGGTCGCAGCAAAACAAATATAATCTGTAGGATAGCACAGGCGAAAAGAGCATTTCAAGACAAAAGCCACATATTAACTACCAATAGTGTTAGCCTGGAAATAAGGAAGAAATTCCTAAAAAGTTATATTTGGAGCGTAGCGCTCTTTGGATCCGAAACCTGGACAATAAACTCAACGGAAAAAAATAGGCTAGAAGCCTTTGAGATGTGGTGCTACAGGAAAATGCTCAAAATACCCTGGACTGAGAAGGTAACGAATAAGGAAGTACTAGATAGGATAAAGGAGCAACGACAAATATGGAAAAGTATTCAATCAAGAAGAGGCAAGATGATAGGACACATTTTAAGGCATGAGAGTTTATTAAAGAAAATAATTGAAGGAGATGTTGAAGGACACATTGCAAGAGGAAGACCAAGAACAGAATACATGACACAGATAATGCAGGATACGAATAAGGGAAGTTACAAAGACCTGAAGGAATTGTGCTACGATAGAGAAGCATGGAGAGCTGCAACAAACAAATCTACGGATTTATAACAAAAAAAAAAAAATAAAACTTTTGCATTTTGTGAACTGTAGTTGAAGTTTTTTCTAACACTTTAATAACAGGTTTTCCGAAATCCATTGAATATCAATTTAATCGAAAAACAATAGAGAAACAATACCGACGAAACGGGTGCTTTACGTTAATTTAATTTTCGTCCTCGTATAAACTCTATGAAAACCTATTTTTACTAATAACGTTCAAAATTGTTCAACCATCTCTAGCGTTATTTGATTTTTTGCCACCGTCTAGTCTTTCTGCAACGTGTGATATCGCACAGCCGTGGACGCAGGATAGTCTTTTCTTCACGTATTATGCGTGAAACGTGAAACAAATACGACGCGACATGTGCTGCGCGCGTTATTAACCGGGATAATAATACATAAAATGCAGTGCCGATACGTAAGAGGGTGCGTGAACGCGAGAGAGAGAGGAGAAAAAACGAAACAAGGATTTCGAAATCCAAGGGGTCCCCGGGTGTAAAGCGCGTGCGCACGACCGTCGGCGACGGCGGCGGCTTGGGCGTAGACCCTGCCGAATTAATGTACAACGCTCGGCCGGGTGATACGGGGACGATGGAGCGGCAACCAGCGTACCACAACATCGACAACGCGCACGCGGGAAGCAGTACCGGCGGGGAAGGTGTGCTGAGCGAACGAGCAGCGACCGCCGTGGAGCGAGCTGCGAACGGTACCGTCGAGCGCGGACCGACAGCACCGGCAGCAGCGCTGACACCGAGCGACCGAGCACCGGAGCACCGAGCAGCAGCAGCGCCCCATGAGTCTGTAATGATTTTCTAAAATGGCGTCATACGCCGCCGCGACAATTGACATTTCCGGCAACGTCCGCTCGTAGCGCGCTCCGCTATACACCTCGCCGCTGCACGACAACCGTCGTCGAGTCTCCGCTGCAGACCGGTTATTACGCACGGGACTGTTCCGCTGCCGTTGTTTTCGTTTGTGGTTTTTTTT